TGATAATAATAATCTCCCACCTCATATGGAGCCAGGATGCCCCATGAGTGCCCCAATGGAGGAGGAGGGAGCATTCCAGAGGATCATGACCCTCCCGACTGCTGTGAGCCATTCATTATTTTTATTTATTTATTTATTTATTTTTTGCGGAACCAGGGATTAAACACAGGCCCTTGCTCTTGCCAGCCAAGTGCTTAGTCTACTGAGCTATCTCCCTGGCTCCCATGTGAGCCATTCATCATCAGGGTTGTGGGTGTTACCATAAAACATTATCTGTCACCCACCCAACTCCCATGGGACCTGTAGAAGGTCAGAGAATGTTTGCCATTTTTTTACTGTCTCTGTCACCTCTCTCACGTTGGTCCACACAGCATATAGATGGCTGCCATAAGCCAATCAAACACAGAATGATTCTCTTGTCCACGCCAGCAGCTGTTCTGCAGCTACCACTTAAGAGAAGCATAGGGGGCCTGCCCCTTAGTGGCTTTTTCAACAAAGCAGTCAGGCTCAGGTTGCTGTGGTTCTATCCCCACAACTCAAGCCAGCCAAACCTGCCCTGAAGGCATTCAGAGCCAAAAAAAAAAAAGAGAAATGTAGCTAGTGATTGAAGCTGCCTTGTCTGTCTCTTGCCTACTATCCAAAATACCATACATCCCTGAACTTCACACTTGCAGCAACCAAGCAGCCAAGCTGAGGTTGTCTAAGCTGCCTTTCCAAATCTACTGGCTCAGCTTGGCTGTATGGGGGGGGGGCATGGGGAACAGTCGCAGGTACCATGAGCTGCTGCTGCTTCATTTTTGCTTTACCATTAGACAGACCTTTCTGCATGGAATTGGTAGAATGTCTTTTTTTTTTTTTTAAATTTTATTTATGTGTGTGTGTGTGTGTGTGTGTGTGTGTGTGTGGCCAGCTCAGCCCACCAGGGGGCGGGGCTGGCTGGCATGTGGTGCTGGGGGATTGAACCGCGGTCCCTGTGCTTTAGCTAAGCTTGTTTTAAGTAGGTGCTTTAGACCACTGAGCCATCTCACCAGCCCGGTAGAATGTCTTTAGCTTCTGAGCTGTCTGTATCCTGTGTTTGTGAGTTCTACCATATTACTGACACGCATTCCTTTGGAACCCAATTTGCAAGCAGCAGCTACCTCTTTTCCCAACTCCCTGATGTAAGTGTTTTGTCCTAATGAGGTTTCTGCCTCAGTCCTAAGGGCAGTGAGAAGCAACTACTGCACCACCTCAGCAGCAGGAAGGACAGTCATCTCCAGAAGCCCTCCCATGACTCCCTGATGGTCTTCTCCAGGACCTCTTAAGGAGCTCTCCCATCTTACTCTATCAAGATGGGTGTCCTATCCACCTCTGCCTAGGCCTGAGAAGGGTCCTATGTAAAGAGGAGGGTGGCTACCCCTCTATCCCACCTGGGTGAGCAGAGGGTTCCACAGTGGGCTGCTGTAAATATTGCTAACTACTCCATTTGTTCAGCCACTGGTCTAGACTGGGAAGGTTCATTTGAGAGTTGGGTAGTCCAGAGAAAGAACATGGAGCTGTAGGAATGTCTGACATACCTTTATGATCTCTGTGGTCTGGGGAGCAACTCTGAAGGAGCAACTCTCATATATTACTCAAAGTTGGAAACCTGCCAACAAGCTTATGAAAAATGGTGTTATGACTTTGTCTAGATGCCCCCCCAAATACTCATGTGCTTATAGGTGGGGCTTTTTGGAGCTGGCTGGACCTAGGGCTTGTGATATTGGGATTAATATGTGTGGTAGCAAATTGATCCACTGATTGGAATTTGCATAGTTCTGGGTGTGGATAATGGCTTCCCTGAAGATAGGTGGTACCAATCAATAGTCTTACAGCCTGAATGTATCGTAAGAGGGCAGCGAGAAGGACAGGCTTGCTGCTTGCTGCTTCTTGTCTTCTGCCTGACACACTATGGACTATTTCTCTTCTATCATTTTCTTCTGCCTCGTACCCTCTGTCTCATGTCTCATAAGGGTAGATTTTGATCTAGGATTTGTAAAAAAGAAAGTCAACAAAATAATTAAGGTTACAAGCTTAGAAGAAGAAACAAAATCACCTTATTGTAAAAGGAAGAGAAATGGGAAAGAAAAACTATTTTATGAGGAAAACAGAAAAAATAGATATCCGGCTTGTTGGAGTAAGAAAGGGAACACAGAGCTGGCACACAGGGGTCTTTGCTCTAAGATCCTTCTATTATATGGCAAGAAAGGGACTATCCTCCCTGCGAGTTGATATAACTTGATTGGCTAGTTAAACTTTGAGACCCCTGATTTGGCTACTGCCTCTTCCATTGCCTAAGTGTACAATTTTGGAGGCACTTCTTTGGTCTCTGTGTTGTCCAGGTGCTTCTCTTATGAGATTCATAGCAGAGTTACATTCAAGGCCGAATTACTAAAAAGGATACATGTGCATTATAGTGTATTCATATTGTGAGCTAATAATACATATATATATGGCTGCATGAGTGTCTAGGTGTTAGTGTATCATTCATATACTGAGTTTTGTGATAGTTTTTAATGTTCTCTCCCTCTCCACTTTGCTTTTCTTGGGCTTAAAGATGGAAGGAGTTCTGCCTTGGCAAGAAGCATGCCTGGCCAGCCCTGTCAGCTTTCTGTTTTATGAGCTTCTCTCTCTCTAGCAGAGGTCTCACTTTTTATTTGCCAGCAATCTCACTGAGGCCCTTTAACGTTTCCTGCTTGTCCCCTAGCTTTCTCGACACTGCCCTGCATTGCAGCCAGCTGTCTAGGGATTGAAATCTCTACAAACTATGATCCAAAACAAATTTTTTACTTTTTTAAACTTGTGGGTATTTTGTCTCCACAATGAGAAAAATAATAAAGACACATAGATTACTTGTTTACATGCTCGTTGTGTATGTGCAGGGTGTATAACATACACTGAGCAACATGTAGACAAAGAACCTGAGCAGAGGCATGAGGGAAGGTACCCTGACCACACACTGCAGAACATCTGAATGAGCTTGGAAAGCGATTCTTCAGGCGAGAACACAACCTGCCCAAAGCAAGGGGTTGCAGTCCTGAGTCAGCCACACAGTGAAGATGCGCGCACGCTGCTAATCTACAGAAACCATGAGATGAGCAATGTTTGTGCTCTAAACTGCTAAATGTATGTTCATTTGTTATGAAGCAATAGATAACTAATAGAAACCCCTGAGGAAATCAGTGGAATGGGGGAGGAGGGAGACTTCTCTTTATGCCTGTTCTGGTTCCAAAGTTTTGTGATCAAAACAGGGAGAAGCAAACTATTGTGGCTAGAAAAAGGAAAATCAGGGAGAAAAGCTACCATGAGCTGGGGAGAGGAGATGATGACTAAGACTTTAATTGTGAAGTGCTTAATTGGGAGAAGGCAAAGTGACTGTGGCCACACAGAATTTGAGAGGAGGGTTCAGGGATGAAATGGCTGTCATTCTACAAACTGGGCCTGTTGTCTCCCATAGTCGAAGGACGGAACTGTGGACAGAAAAGAGGTTAAAGGGGAAGTGTTCATTGGAAATTGGAGAAAAAAATAGCTCCAGGTGAATTTCCAGGGTGGGTCCTCAGTGGCTTGCTAAGCTGCTTCCTTGTCTTGCCTCATTACAAGTGAAGAACTGGAAGTCGTTTAGTTACCCAGGGATCACCTGTGACAGGTGGCTCTGTAGATTTAAATCACCAGTTGTGACTTAGGCTGTATAGAGTTGATGGAAAATCTGTTTCAGGCGGCTAAACTCCAAGGACCCTGCATTCAAAGGGAACCAGTTACATTGTATTTCCAAGTGTCTCCAAGTCCATCTCTGAGGTAGGGAAGACAACTATCTTAGCATATTTTACATAAGTTTTTTCTTTCAGAGTTAGAGTTCTTATTAGAACTCCTTTTTTTGGGCTGGTGAGATGGTTCAGTGGTCTAAGGCACCTACTTAGAACAAGCTTAGCAAAGCACAGGGACCGCGGTTCAATCCCCCAGCACCACATGCCAGCCAGCCCCGCCCCCTGGTGGGCTGAGCTGGCCACACACACACACATAAATAAATAAAATTAAAAAAAAAAAACAAACTCTTTTTTTTCCCCGTGTTGTTCTTACATTTCTAAGCTTAACTAGCTGTATGTCTTGGATTAGCTCCTAACTCAGTGAATGTGCTCTTTTCGTTTTAACCAGCAGATTTTAGGCCCTTATTGACGATTTAAAAAAAAAAAAATTTATTTATGTGTGTGTGTCCAGCTCAGCCCACCAGGGGGCGGGGCTGGCTGGCATGTGGTGCTGGGGGATTGAACCGTCATCCCTGTGCTTTGCTAAGCTTGTTTCTAAGTAGGTGCTTTAGACCACTGAGCCATCTCACCAGCCCCCTTATTGATAATTTATGAGCTAACTAAATGACCTTTTACAAAGGCAGATGGGAAATTCTAGACGTTGGCAATTGAGAGCCTGAAAATCAAGTCACCCCAAGAGGGAATTCAGAAAGGAGGTGCAAGGTGAGTATTCATGTGAGGGAAATGCCACACTATGTTGGAAGAAGAAGGAGAAACAAGCCCAGGAAAGCCAGGGTGTTTGCTGGGTCAAAGCAAGGTCTGCGCCGAGTCTGTTGTGTTGCTCAGGGTATCTATCCCATTTTCCCTCCAAGTGTAACCTCTGGCAGGCACTCCACAGGCGAGAAAACTGAGGCTGGGATTGAAATATCTGCAGCAAGGCCAGTCTAGCAGTAAGCGAAAACTGCATTTGAACTCAGATGTCAAACCTGCAATCTTACCGCTGTAAATTTAAATCATCCTTATTATCCTTACAGAAACAGTAAATGGAGGTTTAGGAAACAAAAGAGCTTCTCAAACTCCCACAGGTGAAGTCAGGTCCAGCCCGAGGCGCCGTCCTCGGGGCGGCCAGCAGAGGTCGCTAGAGAGCGAGCTGCGCGGGTTCAGGACGCGCAGGCGCAGGCGCAGGCGCATGCGTACGAGCGCGCGCTCCGGCTTGCACCGGGGCGCTGGGCCGGCGGGGGCGGGGACACGTAGTGCGCGCGGCCGGAGGTGGAGCGGCGGTGGCTGCTGAGCGGGAGCCCGGGGTGGGTTCCAGGTGAGCGAGACGCTGCGCAGTGTGGAGCCCGCTGGCCGCCGCGGAGCCATGGAGATCGGCACCGAGATCAGCCGCAAGATCCGGGTGAGGCCCGCGTCGGCCGGCGCCGAGCGGGGACGTGAGGCTGGCCCGGGCGGGTGGTTGCCAGGAGTAACGGGCTGGCGGGCCCGGCCCGCGGCGCTTCCTCGTCCAGGCCGCTCCGGGCCTGGCGCGGATCGGCCTCGCGGGGCGGGCGGG